AAAATGATTACAACGTTGATCGCAACGAGTAAAACACTTTATTTCCTTTCTGGGATCATAATTCTGATCAAAGAATGATAATATCCAGAAGCTAATCGATGTTTCAAGAGTTCGGTTTTTTATGTATTTTTATTCTATTTTAGGTGCATCAAATGACAGGTTTCCTTCCAAACAAAACTGATAAAATTCATAGTTCAGGTTTTCCTATTATTTCCCAAGACTTACAAAGCTAGAATAGATAAGATATAGTTTCCTAATCGGCGAGAAATGTCTTTTCCACCTTAGGGAAAATAGAAAAATTTGAATTTCAATGGACAAGATGGTTGCCAGTTGAGATGAACTCAATATGGCAACGCCAAAATAGAGGATCTTCATATGCTGAATATTACCGCTCACAAAAATCATGATATGAAAAATAACCATAATGGTATATATTTTCAATTATTTCTTTTGTTTTGGTGCTATTATTTGCGTTACAAACAAACACAAGTTAGCAATACTATATTTGAATTGTTATTGACAAAGTAACGCTAGGTTGGTAATTCGTCTATCTAGCCTAAGTGTTTTTGTCGTATCTGACGCCCGAAAATGTTTGCCAATGAAATATTGCCGTATTTTAATGAAGCCACTAAAGATGCCATTAATCTTAACGACTTTTGAAGTCACTTGATTTTGCTATTAAGTTTGTTGTGATCCATAGATTCACTTCAAATCCACACACCAAAAAATGCACTCTGAATGTTGCCTATCTGTGAGTTATTTGGTCAATATAACCCCTAGAAACAAACATCAATTCGTCTTCACAGAAATCTTAAAAGGCCAATTTTAAGCCTTAAATTCATTAGTTTTTTCAACAGCAACATGCGTTAGTCCTGCAATTAAGTTGTTTTTTCTATTAGCGTTTATAACATCCACATCCCACATTGCATGACAAATACTTTGTAAATCAAGCAGAGAGTGATATCGACAACCACTTATTATTCCTCCAATTCGTGTTTGCGACGGACCAATGACAGAACTGGACAGAAATTCAATTGCAGTTGTTTTGGAGCCTTGGAGGCCAAGCTGGTTCGATGTACGACTAAGTGGCTCCAAAAAACGATTTATATACGCCTTCGCGGGATGTGTGCTCAGGCTATTGCCCCAAACGGATACTAGTCTTATCCTAATTGCATGAGAATATTTCATCTTAGGCGCCGGGCTTGTTCTCAGTTTCTTGTGCAGAACACAAACGCATTATTTTAACAAAGATAGACTATAATATTATAATAAAGCTGCGAAAATCAACCTTAGGTGAATGGTCATTTGCTGAGCGAGTTGTTTGAAATTAATTGAGCTTTTGTTTACAATGTATTTGACACTCTTGTTTGAAACTGAAATATTCTTCAATATTTGAAYAAATGAATCGCGGAAAGCTTGACAGCGAAACCTGTAGCTTTTATCTGTAGCGAGTTCCCATCCGGTAAACATCACGACATTATAAAAAACGTGCGAGTGTTTTGGATCCAATTTTCCCCCAACACACCGTGTTTCTGAAATTATGTCCGACCACACAAACATGAAACTTTGAAAGGTTGTTTTGAAATGGTGAAATTCGACCTAAAGTGACCATCTGAAGGAACACAAACACACAAAAAAACATTTGTATCGAGTTTCTGCGACTTGGTTACAAGATGAATTTTTACTGATCACGGAATGCTCTGTGGGGCGGCCTTCGTTCGTTAAAACAGGATTTTCCTTCGCATTGTTTGTTTTCTTGTTTGTTGGTGTTTATATAGCATTCGACGGAATCTTTGTAAATAGATTAATCCTGGCAAACTACTTCGAAGCATGCTCTTTCTGAAAATATACATAATTGATAATAAAGGGAACAAAGAAAAAGGACACAAGCTTTAATGTGTGTGTGTGTGTGTGTGTGTGTGTGTGTGTGTTTTTTTTTTTTTTTTGCCCAGTTTAATTTATCAAACAAGATGTCGGCTCACCGGCTAGTGTTTGGTGAATTTCGCATGCTGGGAGCAGCCAGTAAAACCTAGTTTCGTGGATGTTTTTAACTGCTGTCTCAATAGATAAACGTCACTTTCGCATTGGTATTCAAATTTAGTCCTTAAAGTGTCGTCTCCAATGTGTCTAATGTATAGAAATATATATTCACTATGGATATAAATCTAGTGGTTGTTTTTCACTGAAATCATTTTCAAACTACAAAGTTCTCTTGAATGACTAGATTACTGACTATAAAGATCAAGTCTTGAAGTTTTGACGTTAGGACACTTTCTCGAGATTATCAGACGGGATTATTCACTAAATGGGATGTTAGGCTATTTTCAATTTGTAAGTGATTGCATGAAGAGAACACAGCGAAGCGAGACTTGAAAAACCTTTGCTGGTGGTAGCGCGTTCAAAACGTCCCAAACAGTAGATAATAACCCAAAAATAAGCAAAAAAACGTCGTCCAGTTAATAACGAAAGCTCATCTTATACTCCTACTGTGATCTATTTTTGGGGAAACAAAAAGTAATCAAAACATCGAGCTCCGTAGTTCTACTTTCTAGGCATCTTAGCACTTAAACTCGAAATTCATTTGAAATGAGTCAAGCAACCAGAAAGCTACCAATATCTCATTGCGTGAGTTTGTTGTGAAGCTAGTTCGGAATGGTTCGCGTCCGCGGTGTGAAATAAGTGTTTCTTGGGGTTTTATCCCACATTGTTTTGGCGATCCAGTTCAGCCGTCTTTCTCCCCTGCTGTAGAATTGCTGTTTTCGGCGCCCTATTTAACTCACAGCAAGATACGGTACTTCATTAAGTTATTCGACCCCATTTGATCGCGTCTTTTCGGATAGCACAGCGCTCGAATCAATGTCCGGAAAGGAAAACTTGACCAAAACTTAAAAAGAAGCCACGAAAATTTGCATATTCATTAACGAGAAAGCCTTGAGAGCTTTTGGGATAAGTCGGGAACGAAAACAATCGTGTTTCACTGAAGCACAGTTTCATTTTTCTTTGTAACCACCAAGTCATATGGTTAACAAAAGAGGTAAACCCATCCTAAGTCGGTGGGTTTCTCTTCTGTCAATTGTGGAATCCAAGAAAATGGAACTCTCTACAGCACTTATTGTTGGCATAAATCCTTATAACTAATGACTGCGACTTTTTTTTTTTTTTTTTTTTCGTTTCTCGTCCGCTTATTTTCTTCTCTGGGTTAATTGCAATAGGAGTAAATCTATAGACTAACAAGCAATGTTTGGTATTAAATTTTGGCCTCAACAAGCCGTGATATTCGATAAAATTTTAAGGAAAGGTTTCACCAATTTAGTGGAACATGGTAGAGTAATCCTATCTGTGAGTACAAGCACTATTTACCAGGTGTTCAGAGAGTATTTTGCAAAATATTTTCAAACCAACCTAATTCTTTGGATTCAAAGACTATCAAAATTTCATTCAGTTTAAGCTGTGGTTTCGTTGAGCGGGAAAGCGTGTTGTGTAGTTTTGCCGAGCGTCATATTTTTATTCAGCGCTTCGTCCCACCAAATTCAGGCGTCTTGAAAATTAAATTCACCGCAACTGGGGGTTTTAGAACTAAACTTCTAGCTTTCTGTATGGGACAAATGGGATCATACTTCCTGTGAATAATTTAAAATTGAAGCACGATAATAAACAGAATCTAGGACTATTTTTTGCCGAAAAAAATGCATCAGTTTCGAACGTATTATGAGATTCTTAAGCCATAGATAAATAGGTAATTCCTGATATTTTGGCACTACTTAGAAAATCTGCTACCCGAAACTGTTCTTTCTAGAAAATTTAAGTTCGGGTCATTCCTTTTTGAAGAATCGAGAAAAACTACTTAGTGGAAATGGATCGCATTTGGTCGACTTTTAGAGGCTTTAATTGAAGAGAACGAATATCGTAGGGAAATGTCCGAACTGTTCATGTACGAGTCGAATTTTACGAGGATTAAATACATTAGATAATTCTCTTTGTGAGTTTAATTACTAGCCATCATTCTTGGCTATCATTTGTATTTACGCTTCATGTGTAGGATATAATATTCTCGTCCTTTTTTGCGATTTTAGATCAGTGCTAGGGAAGAGCTCTTCGGGGCGACTTATCCCATATATGGATTCTTTGCGGATCGCTTTTACATGCCCAATTTCACCTAATGGATAATCTTAAAACCTCAGCTCTAAAAACATGAATAACGTCATATAATTGCTTTCTAATCAATACACTCGCCTCCTGTTCGTTGTAGCATAAAAATAGTGCTTCATTTGAATATAAGAAAGACTCGTGCTAGCGCGATCCTCCGTCACGCGAGCCGGCTCTTGTCTGCCTTTATTTTTGCTAATAAAGTTCTCACCTTTGTACATAAATCTTTCTACTTAAGATTGACTGACTATAGGAATGACGAACTTGTGTACATTGTGTTCTATTTAAGTCAGTGAAATCAAGAGATGGAATTTCTGGGCGTCTTTTTGTGTCACGATTAATTCATGGGATGATGAAAACAAATTTGGCAAGCCCGTAGATTGGACATCCGTTCAAGTCAGTACGGTCTGAAAAACAGCCCTTTAGAATTTCGAAGACAGCCACAAAACATCCTCACAGTGGAGAAGAATAGTATCCAAAACGATAGAATTTAATTGTAAGCGAAATTTACACGCACTAAAGTTCTTTAAGTAGAAAAGACAACGTAATATTGTAGCGTAGTTTTTGCAAACCACCCAACTAGTAACTGATCCCAATTCGAGATCGTGCGGCGATAACTAGCGAGTTAATATTAACATTTTGAAGGTGTGAGCATTCGTGCCTTGCTGCGAGCTTCGTAGCTCCAACTTCTGTCTAAAAACATGGCAGAGGAATAAAGACTGTTGTACTACAGAATGAATTTTTTACTCGATTCAGATTCAACTAGCGTGTCATGTAGTTGTTTCGTGTTGACGGCCATGTAAAATGTCTGAATGAGTGAATATATAATTGGTTGACTATATAGATGTACCTACCGCGCGATAGGTCTTCTTCTGTCCTACGTGAATCCCTCTGTCATTGATGTGAACACTACTTATGATATCGAAAAAATCGTCTGCTACAGCCACTCTTCTGTACTCCAGAACCTGCGTTCGTGGTCCCATCGATTCCTCATACGGGTACATGGCATCCATACTCTATTTAGAGCCAAAACAAAATATCAGAAGACAAAGAACACATTGCGAGACATTCGATTCAGCATCAAGGGACGATCAGTGTACGTACCCTTGTGTGTGGAACTTTGACCGGAACATACAGGGTGCCATAGAGAGACATGTCTTCGGACTGCACGATTCGAAACCCTTTAGATTTAACCCAAAATCGGAATTTCGCGTCGGTTTCGATGAGTGGTTCGCCAAGTAAATATCTACAAATTTTGTTGTACTTGGTACGGGTTATAGTCTTGGTACGGCTATTTTCACCATAGTTCATTTGGACCCAGCGTTGAAAATTGCGCCGAAATGTTGACTTTTCAACCACGGACATTGTCAAATTCACACCTTGTACTGCGCGCGAATTAGTCACAAGCCAACCTAGTCGAGTCGTGTCCCTTTGGTGGAAAGTGTGCAGCTCGTTAGCTAAGCCAGCCTGCAAACAAATTGGCTGTGACCATCGGGCCTCTCATTGGCCGATTACGGCTGGTTTAGAAGGGCTTCTCTTCGCAACACCCAATCCCGCTTCGCCTCAGCAGATGTCCCGAAATCGAACAATATTGTTTTGCGCATAATTTTGGTAATTGAGTGAAACCTCGAGTGAGAGCTTTGAAAAAAATCGAAATTCGAATAACAAATGATGGATTTTTGCCTTTTGTTTCTATCGCCTCTGAGGCTCCCCGAAATAAATACAGTTCTAAAGCAAGCACGCGAACTATAGTTTAGTGGATAAGAACGCTCAGCTATTTTTTAACCCCTTTTCTCGTTAAAATTATAATGATGACTGAGAACTATAGACGTTTTGACAAAAACACAGAGTATAAGGGAGGTTTGATATCAGTAAAAAGAGGTTTTTTTCAATGAAATATAAGGTCTTATTCAGCGATAAGACTAGGTTTTAAAGATTGCTTTTCTGATCAGGCAGTCCGGAAAGAATGACCGGATGCCTGAAACTCCAAACATGTCCACGTCATATCGAGGGCAAGCCATTAAAAACCCTTAAAATTTTCATTTATTCGTGTTTGTAACGAAAACATTTCATCACACTTCACAATAGTACGTATCTCCGTCAAATTTTTTCCTCTGAATGGGAAAAAATCAGAGAGCAAACACTCGCTAAGGATATGTGTATTCAAGGTATTTCACTTTGATGGCTTAGCAAACAATTGCACGAGCGAAGTTCTTACTTTTGTTAGGACAGCTTTTCATTGATTATATTTGCAGTCGCCAGACTGGTATGACGACTGATATATGTTTTCGAGTCTCTTACACTCTCGTTCGCTTCAGAGCTCATGTAAACACCGTTATGCTCATTGTAAGAGTACAATACTCTGGCTGGGGAATACAAAACTTTGTTGATCTAAAATCATTGAATAGGATTAACCAGGAGTAAATCGACTAATTTAGGAGTGTTATTTGGTATTTCAAAACAGTCTTTCAAGTTTTTAGGAATATAAAAGCATAGCTTTTGTTTTTCCATTCTGCTTGGCAGAGTCTTAAATACCTCCAGGGCATGAATCGTGAAAACAGGAGGGCAATATGCCCTTAAAAAAGCCTAGCAACCAGAATACTTTAATGGGGCAGGTGCCAAGTCACGCCAGATAGAACCGCCAACATCATTCAACATCTCTCTCATTTTCTCTCTCTTTTTTTATTATTTTCCCGTTTGCATTTCACTGGGACGTTCGGCCTAAGTCACATGATTAAGCATTTGTCAAGCACGAAGTAGCAAACACGTAGACGTGTAGAACCCGAAACTTTCGAATTCACTTTATCTGCACGCAATCTGTCGATCAAATGGATCATTTGGGCCGTGGCGTACCATGCATTTTTCAAAGCATGAAGGAGCAATACTCTAGATGGCATCTTTTTATGCTAGAGTAATTATTAAGACCTCTTATGTCTGCAGGACAATTTTCTCTAAGCTTTGGGCACTTTCATTGGACGAAGAAAAAGGCTTTTTTAGTCAAATAAAGCACTGGATAAGTCGATATATAGACTTCCTATTACGATTCTGTTGTGCAATACCACTATGCGATCAAAAATACGGATGTATACCAACTATTTTCTACATTCNAATTACCATTATAAAGTCTTAGAGGTGGTATCTTTCTGGAATTCATAAATTAAAAGAATATCCCCTTGAGTAACAATTTTTAAATTAAATACGACTTTGATATTATGAAAGATAATAGACTTATTAATTAATAGAGGAAATAACTCTATATTTACTATTATTATTATTATTATTGATATCTTTTGATAAAATTTTACTGTTTTTTTTTTTTTTTTTTTTTTTTCCGTTTCTAAATCTTTATTTCTACGTTGGACAGCGTGAGCAAAACGGGGAAAGACCAAGACTCAATAGAAACATCGAACAAAAATGTTTTCAAACACAAAGTGAGAGAAAACTACGCTATAATGAGTAGTGTCCTGTGAAGAACTAGTTAAACGAAAGAGTTGCTCCGCCAGAGTCAGCATGTAGCCTCTAAGTTAAGAAAGCTTTAAATTTTTACTTCATCTAACAAACCACTCTCTAATTCCCCCAAAAAAATGTCTCATATTCTTTCTTAGTTCTTACACATAAAAAAAAAAAACAGACAAAAAGGAAACAATACAAGCAATTTTGAATAAAGAATAGGCCTTCATATTCACCGTGAGATGTGCCGGTGTACTGATTAACTGTGCCAAATAAAATCTATAAAAGCAAGCAGTGTCCGAGTATGATAATAAAGCTATTTGAGAGCTTTAGAAACTGGACTACTTTTTCTTCATTAATTATTCAGTCCCCCTACCAGATCCTGTTTTTGATTTTCAATTATTCATTTAAATTTACTTACTCAAATCTCTTTTCGGATACTTAGGGACTAATGCACTTTGCTTCTGCTTGATTATAGATTACAAATAGACACAAGAACATTATTATCCGAAGAACACATCAAGAAATGCAAATGTTGTCAAATTCAAAACGAGCACAATTCAATTTGGTGGCTGAGCAGTTAGCGGCCAAAACCTAGCGCCGGCTATTCGTTCATTGTTGTTCTCAAACTGTCCCTTTTCGCATTCTTGGCCAACCGGTGAATTCCTTGATGAAATATTTATTAGCAAGAAGCCGGAAAAATCATATTCAAACCAACTCAAAAACAACAAATAAGCTTTATAGCGCTGGTTTTCATCGAAATATTTTGAATTCGGCGTTTCTATTCCTCGAATGCTCCGTTGTTTTAGAACATTGTAACTCAATTTTGAGCGCTACCGATGTAGAATTGGCTAAAAAAACGAATTTATTATGCTAGCAGTCCTATATTTGATCTTTTCGCCCCTGTTTTTATGTCAAAACCGCTTTATTTTATGTATAACCTATGGTTCAAGAAGCTGAGCGATCAACTAATATATTTTATGATTACTATACGTAATGATAATGTCATTTGAAAGATCATTCGAAAGGCGGGTTTTTGTAGCTTGTGTTTTGAGCTTCAGGAAGACCATTGAAAATGAAACAGTGTTCTCTATCTGCATATTGAAGGACTTGAATAAATTAGGCTCAAGCTGGTCGTTCTTGTCCTTGCTAGACTCGGACCAGCACTGTCTCTCACCAAAAAAAGTGGATCATAATTAATGATCAAATAAACTCTAAAAATAAAGAGTAATTTATAAGTTAGTGCATTGTAGCATTGAAGCGAGCCTCGTAAGACTATTCTCTTAATGATGAAACAAAAGTTTTACACTTCACTCATTCTTTTTTGACTGAAATAAAAAAGAAAACAAAACAAAAAGAAGGAAAAAATGTACGATTTTAAGACGACGAAAGTGTGCAATTTTGCGACGCGCAAAAGTGAATTTGCGCGGGAAGTTTTCATCTACTTATTTTGCCTCTAAAATGAAAGTTTCACGTTTGGTATCGAATCTAACTCATTTGTCGTTAAGTACAGGGAATATAAGTGCTCTCCAAACGGATTTCCAAGATAAAACACCTCTTCAGGACAGTATATTCCACATTGAGTCATTAGCAGCCCAGTGATGAACGTTTGATAAACGGACAAACTGCCAAAAATGTCTCATCAATCACTTTTATTTTTTTYCCCCTAAAACACGAATTTTTTCGCGAGCGACCACAAAATTCAATAGGAAACAAAACCTTTTTGTTTGAAACGTAACCCTTAATATCTTCCGGTAGGATAAAGAAGGTTTTTTGTTAGGTCATTCTAGTTTTTTTGACAAGACTTATTCCTTTTTGATGAATAATGGTTATGGAGATTAAAGCGGCTACGTTCTGAAAAAAACATCGTAAATAATTTCTTTCTCTGAAATGTGTTTTTTCCATCTGTTCTACACAAACCGCACCATCGTTTTCTTGTGCAAACGAACGAACTCATTACAGGATTCCCGGAAATACGGAATTTCTGAGAAAACATCAGTCTTCCGACTGGATGTCCAAAGCTGTACGGTTGAGAATTGACTCTGTATATATTAGCATACTGAGAGCAGGGGATGGATGATAAATCGTAGGCTGACCGCCATTAACTAACCCAAGGACAAAAGAGCCCCTCTGTAAAGTATCTTGCCCTCGGCAATAATAATAAAATGGTAAACTTGGAGTTCATGTTATGGTTTTCATTAAACTTTTGTTTTGGTGGATGACACTAGCATTAATCTTGACTGTCAGCAGTCCCATTCAAATATCTGATAAGGGGTAGCGAGGATGCAAGCCCTGGTTTCTGATTGGCAGAATACTGTAACGGGCTCCTGGCACCTGTCGAATAGTCCATGGACAAATATCGAGCAATTTTTTGAAAACCTATTAAAACGCCGGCCAAGAGATATATCGCCGAAAACACGACCCTCAAAAATCCAATTTAGCTAATGGTCTACATCCAAAACAAGAGAGTAAAGTCCCGATAAAGGTTGAACTTAGTACTGTCCAATTACTAGACTCTACCGCATCTCTATCGATGATAAATGAATTCAGGCCCAGAGGGCTTTTTATTCTTATTTTTTTGTCCTGTTCAATATTTTATCCCATTCAAACGAAAACATTCAAGTTATCTTGTATTGAAATATTGTACATTTATATATAGACAGTGATTCTTCATCGACTCTATTTACTAAAGGAAATCATCTTGTCACGGGTCTTGCTCAATTTTGCAAAACAATATTGTCCGTTAAATTATTTCCACCACTTCGGTTTGTCTGAAAAATAATTGAATTTGTTCTAAATTGATAGAAATGTATATAAACTTGGCCAAAACATCTTGAAGTTAAAACATTTTGAAGAAGCTTTTTAGACTATCATTCATGACGAGAATGCAACCATCCATCTACTACAGACTATATATCAAAGTTGGTGTAAAATTTCAGTTTTTATTATTCGAGCTTTTATACAATTAACACGAGGCAAGACAATGAACTTTCTTTTTAGAGCCGTTATTATACGTTAGACATTGGGTTCAACATCAAGAAAAACCATCCCTCCGGTTCAGATCAAAATAGAGATTTCAGAATTTCGTGGAAAGATATCTTGTCGGAAAAAAATTCAGTTGCATCACGAAAATCAAGAAGAAAAGCTTTCATGATTGCTACAAGAATTGTTTTTTCCCTCAGGGGTTTCGAAGTCTTCGTTAGGTTTTTATTCTGTTGATCAATTTTAGTCTTTTTTTTTTGTCTTGACTTGACGCATGGCTGCCAGGGTTGCGTCTGGAGGAAGAAAGTCAATGACATCCGGAACGAACTTTATATTGTCTTTATATCGGTAGGGAAACGTTAAATAAAGCCTTTATTCATGAGAAAAATGTTAGATTATATTTTAAGTTAGAGGATTAATAGATTCGTTCGGAGCTGACGAGAAAAAAGGCGGGATGAAATAGCGGGTATGCTGTTACGACGTCCTGAAGTCCACAGCAACGCAGCTTCTAACTGAACGTCACTAACGCGATTCTTCTCCTATCCCGTCTTGTGTTTTCAGTCATTTTTCCATTCTGTCAGTTTTGCGTGCCCCTTCATCACCACATGGGCTAATTACCTGCCCTAATTTTCTAAGCTATTAAAGAATGATAGTGATAGCAATACTCTTGGTTGATAATATGCCACCTGCAACCATCGAGAAGCCCACCTTTTACGGACTTTATTACTGTCCATCTGCCAGCCCAATGAGGCTTCAGAATCCTTCAAACTACTAACCTTAGTCATTGTAGCTAGCGTGAACCAGTTTTTGATCTCTTTCGACCTGTTAAAACGAAGTAGCTTAAATCTAACTGAGGTTTTCTACGGAGTCGAAGTCAGTGAGGCTAATTTTTTCACCAGACGCTTTCGTGTCAAATTTATATTAAGTAGTTTCAGCTGATTTTAGTTGATCTTTAAAAAGAGGTGTTATATAGGAGTAATTACATGTCGTACATTTGTTTGTATCCCTCGGCATTGTTTTTTCCTGTTGTTATAGAGGTCCATTGCATAAAATACTAATTTTCTTTTTTTCATTCAATGCTCACATACCGACAGTACAGAGTATTATTACACATCTATTTACATTTATATTGATGACGTAAAGGCTAGTCGTCTAGTTTTCAAACCGTGTTTTATTATTATTATTATCATGCTTGCTTTGTGTTTAATCAGCGTTCGGAAAGTGTGCAACGGTGTGATAATCATAACTCAGAAGACGAGTGGCTTGCGCTGCTGATTCAGGGAAGCACGGGTGGCTTAGCAGTGAAAGCGCTCGCCTCTCACCAATGCGACCCGTGTTCTAGTCCCGCTGATCTCGGTGTCGTATGTGAGTAGAGTTGTTTGTTGGTTCTCTCTTGTGCTTCGAGGGTTTTTCTCCGGTTTTCCTCCCTCCACGGAAAATCGACTTCTAGATTATAATTCCATCTAGAAAGGGCCTAGATGAAAAGTACTCTGTGTAAACCTAGTTACCCTACCAAAGCCGCCTCCAATTAGTGTGCTGTCGGTGACGGTCAAGATTCCGGTCCCCAAACCCGCCTTAAGAGTCAAATTCAAGTTGAGGTTTGTCGTGTAAACCAGCTATTATTTACTACTCTCGATAAATAAAGCTGATTATTAATTATTAGTAGTAGTAATAAAGTTGTTCCGCGGTTCTCTTCTGTGCTTCGAGGGATTTTCTAGCTCCAGGTTTCTTAAGGAGCTTTTCTTAAGGGAAGAGGATGTGTAGTATATTTTGAAAACCTTTGGATGCACATCGGTTTTCCATTCCTGTATCCTGAATATTGCAGGCCACTTAACTGTAAGTCGTAGAAAATTCTTATGTCAAAAGTCATGGTCGCTTATACGAGAATTTCCCGGTCGGAAAGAATAATCGGTTATGTGCCTAGTGACCGATACATTTGAAGTGGTCGGTTGTACCGACTTCTCGGTCGTTTTTGGACAGGTTCAGTCACTCCCAAAGGTTGATGCCAAAGTTGTGTTTGTACAATTCAAGGTCTACGACAAGTTCCGGTAATATATACCATATATCCGCGAAAAGTTAACTAACAAAATTGTACAAATTAGTGCATATTTTTGAATGTCTACGGTCGACTGAGGTCTACTGAACTTACTAATTTGTGGAAATGTGTGCAATTTGTGACATAGTTTTTCAGGGATAGAGTGCAAACAATATAACCGTGAAACTTTAGTAATACTAAATAGCACAATTTTGCAAATTCCATTGTTTTCTATTGTTTGATTAGCACTATTTTGTACTATTTAGTAATTAGTGTTTCACGGATTAATTGTTTGAACTCTATACGATATGCACTCTATCACTTAAACAAAGTAAGATCTCTTAGCTAGAGAGAGCGTGCACGAGTCAGGTTAGAGATATGTCTCTTCTCTCAGCACTGATCTTAGGGAGGAGAGAGAGGGGGGCAACTGATACGGTAGATATGCCCACTCCCTGAAACCTTCCGCAGCTCTAATTTGTATGTCTAAGTGTATGTCTGGACTCCAACTCAAGGTGGAGCAGATTTTATCTATTATTTTTTTATATCTCCAAAAGAGTTTAGATGAATAACTTCTTCAGTCGCTTTTTGCAAGTCTTGCTGTACACATACAAGCAAAAGAGAGCGGTTTTCTTATGAGGAGGAAACGTACAGTACGGAATTACAGCACGTACACGGTACGACATACTGCAACATTGAAATGGCTTCCCATAAGAATGGTTATCGTATGAGTGGGAAACGTACGGTACTGATCTAGGGGTGGTTCCGTGGGGGTTCGTCCCACCCCCTAAACCACAAAAAAAAAATGAGAAATATGAATCCCCCTTTTAGGCCATCTTGATTTTATTAAAGCCTCTAAGAGACCATAACGATAGGCAAGCCAATCTGCAGCAT